GTAGTTTAGGTCCCCCATGACTACCGCCTCTTTAGCTTTTATGGTCTCCGAGAGCTGCCTCAGGAGCCCCGAATCTAGTTCTTCCCCTTGGTGTGGGGGTCTGTAGCAGACCCCTACCACCAAATCCCTTTCTCCTTGCCCCCCATGTAGTCTAACCCACAATCCTTCTACTTCCTCATCCTTCGATTCCGAATGGAGGAACATTACCAGCTACCTGTTGATTAGCTCCAAAAAGCCCTAAGCCAACACAGTTCTGTCTGTTTTGTCCCATCTCCCACAGCACAAACCATAGCCAGCATGTGATATGCTAACTAATGCTGAGAGGTGTCTGTTTAAGGCAGAGGGGTAGGGGATCCCTAAAGCAGGAAGTGGTGCGGGGGAGTGGGGAGAGCAGGAGGAAGCCAGGGAGACCCCGCTGTACTTGCAATCTCTGCTGGAGTTTCAGCCAGGATGCAGAGGGGAAGGGCCAGCCCAGCTCTCTGGAGGAAAGAGCCCCACCCAGCCCAGAGAGTATGTGGGGATGCTGGGGTACTCTGATTTAACTTAAACCAGGAAGGGGTCTGGGACAGACATTGCATAAACTGGTTTGACCCAGATCAGTTAAGTCTGATACTACATTCAGCCAGGTTTATCTCAAGCTGGTTTATCTCATACTGGTTTCAGTCATTTTCAAACTGGTTTATGTGCACTGAATATCTGTTCTGTTAAAGGTTTAAATCAGTCTCTGATTGGTTTATGTGTAATGCCTGTCCCTAGCCTGGAGGATTCCACCTCTCCAACATGGACCTGAGTAATCCTAAGTGCTGATCCTTCCAAATGCATGCAGGACTCTAACAAAAGCTGGCCTAGATGTGCTCACTGATGTGGACATAGGCTGTCCAGCTGGTAGCCTGCAGGGCACATGCGGCTGAGAGAGGTTGTTGTCCAGCCCCCGGACTCCTACTTAGCTGCCACCCACCTTAATACTCTAGCTGCTACAGCAGCCAAGGTCTCCCACCCCTCCATCAGCTTTTGCTTCCTGCTCCCATCCCACCAGGGGAGGCTGTGGCGTGGTGCAATGGTGTGCATGTGGGGGGACAAGGGGTTACATGTGCATGGTGCAGGGAGGGTGCAGCCCATGGCTCACGCTAACACAGCCCACCGCTAGGGTGGCTCACACGGTATGCGGCCCCTGGCCACTTAGAAGTCAGACAGCCCTAATGTGAACTTTTACAGGTCTTAGAGGACTGTCTGCTCTGTGCCTGACAGAGTTAGTTGGGGATCAGTTTGGGTCTCACTGGCATTACACAGTGAGTATCACTGGCATTACACGGCTTGAGGACTAACTTTCTTTTGGAAAAAGGAAGTCCTTCTGGCCTTTGGAAATTCTGAGCCTGTGGGACATTCTGCCTTGTCCCTTTAACTCAGCGCTGAAGCATAAAAGAAAGCAAGCTACTGTTTTCCTGAAAAACATGAGTGCATTTCCCTCCACACCCTCCTGAGGTTTATTTCCTCCTCCCTAGGAGAAACCTCCCTTCCTTTCATAACCATTTGCAAACTCCTTCTCCTAGCCATGCTCAGTGTGTTGACTCCCCCTCCCTTTATCTTATTTCCCATCTCAGGAGCCCATCACAATCCCAAGTCCTGAAGACAGCATGTCCAAATTAGGGCAGCAAGAGGCACAGAGAGCTGCTGTATTGCCTTCACCTCTGCCCCAGCTCCCACCCAAGGTTATAGGAACAATATAGCACAGACTTAAAAAAGAAAAAAATAGGCTGTGTGTAATGGTGGGCATATCAAGCCCAGCAGCCTGATGGTGGGAGCACCTGCTTTGGACAATTGTGACCATTGGTGGTGTTGTGTTGCAGGCATCTGGGTGCCGTGCTGATGAGGCTGGTAGAACAAGAGATGAGATTAGATTGAGTCTTTCAGGTTTTGGCCATTTTCACTGTAGCATGGCCAAGTGTGTGAAAGTGAATCCGAAGGTGTCTCACCCAGCTGCCCACAGGAGTAAGCCCTGGTGATGCTGCTTGGGGGTGGGAGGCTGCCAGGCTGTGGCTTGGTGATGTCTGAAGTGGTGCACAGCAAGCTTAATGAGCCACTGAATCAGGCCTGAGCCCCACTTTCCCCCATGTAACTTGCAACTCTTCCCCTTATAGACCCCACTGTTGATTTAACCCACTGAGACAGAATGGAAGGTACTGTGACAGAGCCCATTATCTTGCACACGGTAGTAGCAGTGTGGGTGTAAAATGCCACCAAATCAGAATGCTCATCCTGTGTCCCAGATGAGGGGCCAGAGGTGCACAGTCCAGCTGAGGACAGCAGCAATGACTTGAGCCCACTGCTACTTCCCAGTCCTGCACTGACAAGGTACTGGAGCCTCTCCCCTCCCCTCCCCCACTGTAATTTCCAGCAACTGGCTGCTTCATCTCTGAAACAGATCTCCACCTTCAAGAGACCCACCAGGTTTCTGGGCTGGGGTTTGGAAAACATGGGCTCAAACCTAGATCTGGATAATATGATTAGGTATTTCTCTGAACAAGGGGCAGGGCTTATATCTGAACATCATGTGTGTAGGCCATGGACACAAATCATGATTGCTATGGGAACCACGCAAGCCTCTCCAGCCCCAGCCTTTGGAACTTTTGAAATATTAGCCATAGGATTAATGTTGCATCTAATCAACTTAGATTTTGTTTGTTTTTTTAAAAACAGGCAAAAAACAGAACAAGAGATCATTGACACTGAAATTCATTCAGGTTCCCTTCTGTAGAGATGCAAGTAATTCAGTTCTGCAGGTGCTCCCCTCTGTTCACCCAGCAAGGTACCATAGCAGCAACGTCTGAAAGAGCTGTTCTTCAGCAGAGCACCCCCAGAGTTGTGTGAGGCACTGGATGCTTATTGAACTGCATCATTCTATTTGATCTCCTCTGCAGGCTGGTCTGGATGGAGAGAACATTGGATATTGCCCCTTCTGCCAACGCCTCTTCATGGTGCTCTGGCTCAAAGGAGTCAAATTCAATGTGACCACAGTGGACATGACCAGGTAAGGGAGACAATGGTATTCATGGCATCAGGACTGAGCAGGTAACCACCACAAGGGAGCACAGGGCTTCTCCTTTAACAGTGTGAAGCAACAACATCTATGTTAAGAGACATGCTGGAGTGTTACTTTTCCCTCTGCATTTCAGACCTCACCTTCTGTAAGCACAAAGTTACCGTTCATAACACTCCCTGATACATCCCTGGCAACCTATGGTGTTATGTCACTGGGTGATGATACATGTCAGCTAAGTGGACAGTTGCAACCAAATCCTCTTCTGATTTACCCCATACCAAGTTTCCCTTATTAACTTCTTTGGGATTGCACAAGAGAATTTTTGCCAATACAAGCAGCTGTGACAGCAGCTGGGGATGTAACATCCACAATGACATTTTGCCAAGTCAGGTTCACCAAAAAAATCCTGTGATTCATTCACCAAAAAATCCTGTGATTAAATTTCCTTGACAAGGTGACTGTGCACCTACGGGTGGGGCTGGGGGTGAGAGGGAATCACACTCACAAGTAAATCCCTCTTTTTCTTTTTCCTATTCATTTTAGGAAACCAGAAGAGCTGAAAGACTTAGCACCAGGTTCCTGCTGTTCAACAAGGAGTTGAAAACAGACTTCATTAAGATAGAGGAGTTTCTGGAGCAGACCCTGGCCCCACCTAGGTATTTCCCATCTTCTAGGCAGGAGTCTCTAAGCCCTTTGCAAAATGTATCAGTCGGACAGGGGTTGCTACTTTACAGAGCAGGAAATTGAGATGGGGCAGTGATACCCCTAGGAGCCTTGGCACTGCTAGCAGCACTAGAAATAAAATGTGGGAACCCTAGTACCCAGTCCCTGGTCTGAGCAGCACAGCAGCCTTTGTGATCTTTCATGAAATGACTGTGTAATGAGTCCCCGGAGCTGGTGTGAGTAAATCAGCAGAGACAAGCATTTACCCTGAGAAGCAGTTGGTTTGCCTGGCAGTTGTTCCCTGCTGTGAATGGCTAGGCTGTGAGGAAACCATTTGGTCTGTGAGATAACACAATGGGAGGAAATACACTCTGTGATCTCTGGATGCAGAGAGCAGGCAAAAGGGGGAAAAAGGCAGGCTGGGAGAGGCAGACTTATGGGGTGCTGTGTGGAGCATGTCACAGGTGCAACTGGTCAGAGCCCCAAGCAGCAAACACTGTTATTTTTGCAGTATATGTTGCAGAGCAGAGGGAGTGGGGAACCTAAAAGCAGTTTTGGTTCTCTTTTGCCTGCTTGTTTTTTAAAAGGGCAGGTGCATTCATCTGAGCCAAAGAAAACACTCAATCTGAGAGATATGGAGTGCAGCCAGCTCGGGGGGGTGTGATGCACTCACTCTTGGCTCTGCCCCTCACATTCTGCTGCAGTGATCATAAACAGGAGACACCTTAAGGGGCCAGAACTATTCTCAGTCATGAACCTGAGGCCAGATCCTCATGCAAATTCACATTGGTAGTATCAGTGACTTCTGCCACTTTACACCAGTTGATGAACCAGCCCCTCATCTCTCATTCACCTCTTTGTGACTGTCTGACAGGGGCACGTTTGGTTCCCAAAATATCCCTAAATGCTTTGCAAGCCCTTTTGACAGAGAAGGAAGTAGAACCCTGCTCTCCTTGTCCATGTCTTCTTTTCTTAGTTAAGTCCCTCTGGAGTGTCCTGCCAAGGTCCCCTCTGCTTGTCTAGCCAGGCTTCAGAACTATGTGATGGGCTAGCTGGTAGTGATTTAGCCCAGGGGTTTTGAAAGGGTAAAAGATGATTGAAGGGCTTGGGATTCCCTTTCCTCACCAATACATCAGACCCGAGGAATTCCAGACTGTACCCAGGACTCAGAGTGGCTGGGATAGGGCACTCTGGGAGCTCAGTCACTCTTGGTTCAATCATGCTAGATCAGCCATTGGCAACATTTCAGGAGCAGCGGGCTGCAATAACCCAGCTTGATGCAGCTTGGCTTGAAGCAGGCTAGTCCTTCTGACCCAGCCACTGCCATTTCTCGGTTTCACCCAGTTGCCTCACAAATGAGAGACCCTAGCACTTTAATGCCACAGAAGCCTCGGCTTTATGGGGTGGATAAAATCACTCCATGAGCTGGAGGTTACCAATCTATGGGCACTTATACACATGATAGGGGTTTAGTCCTCAGGGTTTTTTTCTGTGCCCCCTAAATTGGAATGGTGGGTTTTTAATTGAAATCCACCGTTTCAATTTTCTGTCATGTTACAGGGAGGGGCCCAATCCTTTTTGTTTTTTCTTCGATCAGAGTAGAGAGAGCCAGTAGACCAAGTAGCCCCTGAGCTGTGGGAGGCCCCTTCCCTCTGCAGCAGCAGCACACCCTAGGGCCACCCAGGCAGGCTGCTAGCAGGCCAGGTGCTGCCCCAGGTTGGAGGCAGTACTCAGCCTGATCCAACTGTCCCCCAAGCCTGTCCAGGGAGCAGCGCCCAGCAGGCTTCCAGCTGGCAGGCTCAGGGAACAGCTGGATTGGGCCGGGTGCTGTCTCTGAGCTGGGGCAGCACCTGGCCCACTAGCAGCCCACCCAGGCAGCCCCAGGGGGCACTGCCACTGCAGAGGGAAGGACCAGGGCTGCCCGCAGCTCAGGGGCCATTTGGCCTGCCAGCAGTTGGCCCCCTGGCCACGGGAGAGACAGGCAGACTCCACCAGAAAAAAAAAGGGTTGCCTCTCATTGCTTTTGCCTTTAGCAGGCACCTGCTGAAAGCGGAAGTGGTGAAGGGACCAATCCTTTTTTTCTGCAGAGCCTGCCTGCCTCTTCCGTGGCCAGGGGGGTTGAGCTGACATCTGGATGTAATTTAGTTTGCAACAATGCAAACTTATCTAAAACCCCCAAAACTGGCGCACGGGTAATGCATGAAGCCATTAAGCCACACAAATGACATTTTTGTCATGTGTACATTGTGATGACTGTCACATGTACAAGCGCCCCATGAGTCCAGTGTGCCTGTTGGGGGATTAAGCTGAGCCTGTAGGACAGATTTCCAAAAGTGCTCAGCACCTTGGGTGTGTGGTGGGTGCTGGGCTTATTGGAAAACCTGGTCCCTACTTGGGGGTGCTGAGTCCCTCTGAGGACCAGCCTACCATGCTGTTGGGAAGCATAGCTACCTCCTAACATGTGCTTCATTTGTACTGATTCCCAAAAATGAACTGTGTATCTGTCTTAAATCAGCCCTAAGCACACACCCACCACTGCTTTGGGCTCTCTCTCAAGGGTGCTTATTGACACAGACTCAGAGCTTTAAGGCTGCTATATTACCTCCATTCTGGGATTTGGCAAGGCAAAGTGGGAGTGAATGGATGGGGCTTGCTTCATGGTACTTCTGTAGGGCACAGTGACGTGCCGTGAACGTCCCAGTTCTAGACTTTTAATTGAGGGCTCCTGGGCACATCAGGACACATCAAAACTATAAGGTTCAAACCTTTTATGGGTCTATGGTTGGGCACATGAATGATGCTGTGTCCCCTTCCATAGGTCACCTCTGAACAGAGCTCACTCCTTATTTAAAAGCGTCTGAATATACCACAGCAGAGCACAGAAATGGGACCAATCTGATTCTCAGTTCAGTGCCACAGACTAAAGGAGAAAAGTAAGATTGCCTTGAGGTGGACAATGCTGGTGACAGAACAGCTCTCTCTGCTGGTGGAAAGGCTTTTATATTTGCAATATTCTTTTATACCAATAAACCTTCTTTTCTATCTACCTTACTCAGGAAGAACTATGGTAATTCAGGCTCTCACATGATAGTGATACTGCTTTCATGGCTGAAAAAGCATTTTGGGATCCTCTAAAGCCAAAAGTATATCTCCCTAGGGAATCTGTGTGTGTTTCTTTCTCATCTAATCCATCTCATGCTCCCACTTGTGCCAAATCCCTTGCCTGACAGAGCTGCAAGTGCCCGTTTATCCCAAGGGCAGAACTAGTTGATGTCTACAACACTCATGCTTTGAAACATATGTCTATTCATAGCTTAAATAATTACCAGAAACCCACAGGGGATTATGTAGCCACCCAGCCAACTAAAGGGTTCAGGGAATTCTTTTATATAAATTAATCACCACAATTCTCTATTAAAGGTACCCACACTTGAGCCCCAAATACAAGGAGTCCTTTGATGTGGGCAGTGACATCTTTGCCAAGTTTTCAGCATACATCAAGAACACGCGCAAGGAAGCCAATGAACGTAAGGGAGCCTGTTGTGCTTTGTACTATTGCTATCCCCCCTATTCATTTGCCCTGGGAATTTAATTTCATGGATCGCAGAGTAAACTGTTGGAGATGCAGATCACACCACCAGTGGGATCTGAGGCCATTGATTGGTATAAGAGTGTGGATGTTTGAAGGCTAAATGAGGATTCAAATGTTCCAAGAAAGGTAATGTAGCCTCTGCCACATCAGGAGGAGCCAGGAGTTGCCAAATATTGGTGGCAACTTTTTGTTTGCAGGCATCTGTTTTTTGACAGGTAAATCCTGTTGCTAGGCTGGAGTTACTTCAGTCTCACACATTCCATCTTCCCCAATGAAGCCTGATTGGCAATTAAAGGAGCAAACAGGAAGGATAGGTTTGACCCAGCACCATTTGGAGAATGCAGTCCTTAGCAAAACACCCACCTGTTTCAAAGCTGAGACAGCAGAAGCTGTGGCCACCACCCATGCTCCAAAAGCAGCTTCTAGATCCCCTCAGAAGGGACAGTACAAGCAGCAGGTTGCAAGCTAAGCTGGCAAAGAGCTCTTTATCTGCTGTGCATGGTGGACAGTCAAACCTTATAGCCCATCTAAAGTGCTGTCAGTACTGTGCAGCAGTGTTGGCTCTTTGGATGCTAGAAAGAGAAAAGCAACAAAATCGGTATCTGTTAAGCAGCTTGATGGTTGCTATTAGCAGCTCTGAAAGCTGACTAGCTGAGGGATTGATTGAGCCTGCCAGCTCTGTGAAGGTAATTGCCTTCTATTGAGGTAATTGCCCTGTAATGTGTCATAGCAAGGTGCTCAGTGCAAGTGGTTTGCACAAACTAGCTGGCATCTTAAGCAGCACCTTCAGGATTAAGATCAATGGGAAACAGGAAATGGCTTGTGCTATGTGCATGATTTCAGTAGCTACCTATGTAGCCATGGGCTTCTTAAGTGGCTTTGATTGTATGACTTAACTGTTATTGAGGTCTGCTCATGGGCCTGCCTATTACTTGGTTAGCCCTAAAATGCCAACTGTCTCCATAAAAGACACCTAGTTCCTTCCCCACCAAATCTCTCAAGCCATCAAACTCTGCCCTGAAAATTCTGCTGTGCTTTAGGGCCCAAGGCCAAGCTCCCCCTTAGCCCACCCATCCCTCCTTCCCCCTAGTGTGTTCAGTACTCATCCAAACTAAGAAAGAAGGAAGCACAAGAAGTTTCCCAAGAGCCCTGCTGCACTCTACTTTCGGCCTCTACTATCTGGCTTCAATGACATGCCCATCACCTGCTCCTTCTGTCAGCAGAGGGGGACCCTCGCTCATGCATCAGGCTACATCCTCTCTGCCCCCTCCTCAGGAACATCTTCCTGAGGTTCTGGCTGGACTTCTCCATACACTTTTTCTGCTCCCCATCTGTGGCCACACCATGTTCTAGGACCACATGGTCAGCTTCTTCCTGGCTCTGGCTAAGCTCATCATCTACCAGATGAGAATGGAAGCTCTGGCCAGGGGGACCATCAATGATTGTGGGGCCATTTTTCTGTCACTCCTATGTGAACATCTTCAGGCAGAGCTTCACTGAATGGCATCCACAGGGTTCTTGGACTCATTCAAGGTACAGTGGGTGCTGACCAATGAGCTCTGCTCAGTGTCCCCATTCGGGATGCTCATTACCCTCTGACCTTCACCCCACCCCTGTTTCCTCTTCTGTTGTTCCAAGAAACCTATTGTTATGCTTCTAGTGGCCTCCATAACTGAGGGAGGTTTATCGTTCCCTTGGTAGACCTAGGCATACCACATCTTGCAGTTAGAGAGGGCACAGGAGAAACCATAGGGGGACATGATTCCTGGAAGGGCTGCGCGCTCGAGTTTCCTGTCCCTCTCCACTGGAGCCTTTTTAGGAATCAGTCTGCCTGATACATGTCTGCCCTTATGTGCTTTGAATGGGGAGAAAAGCAAAGCAGTTCAGTGGGGAAATGGAAGCTTCTATGGCTTAGTGTAGTTGTGGATGACTCCTAGAATCACCCGTTGTAGACAGAGAGTCTGCTCCTCTATAAACATTTCCTCTCAGAAAAGGTGGAAATGCATTTCTGGAGCCCTTCCCAAATCCTAGAAGTCCCTGGAAAGTGCCACAAAGATATATCGTGGGGTTTCTTCTCAGCAGTCCCATTGGCAATGTGAGGTGGATCTCTCCTGCGCAGATGATCCTGCTCAATGGAACAAAGAGTGTAGACTGTGAGGAAGGGGATCCTGTGGGTAGGTGGATTTGTGTGTATCTGTACATACTGGAGGAGGCTCAACATCTGAAGGTGAAGGCCTGATTCTGATCCCAGTTGTAGTCATGTAGACCAGGACTAGCTCCACTGAAGTCAAAGAAACAGCAGAGAAACTGTGTGAGTGAGAACACAATCTGGCTTCAGGTTTTTAAATTGCAAATTGTGGTTTCTTGTTTTGGTGCAGATTTTGAAAGAGCTCTGCTGAGGGAGTTCAAACGCTTGGATGACTATCTGAACACACCACTCCCTGAAGAGATTGATCAGGACAGTACTGAGGAAGTCCTGGTCTCCAAAAGGAAGTTCCTGGATGGCGACAGACTGACACTAGCTGACTGTAACCTGTTGCCCAAGCTGCATATCATTAAAGTAAATATACTGTCTAGCTGTAGACTCAAAACTTCCAGTCCAAAGGAAAAAGGTCACCTACCATGAGCAGATGGCAAAGGGCAGGGTTCAAAGGGCAACAATTGCCTGCCACTGAATGGGTTTAGAGGGCACGGTTGGCTTACTCTGAGCAAGTTAAAACAGAAGGTGCCTGAGTGATGTGATGGCCCATTCCACTGAAAGTTAATAAGACCTGTTCATCTATTGCTCTGGGTCAGATGGGGTCCTCTCAGAAGAGCTTTTAAGCATATCTAGGTATTCCTCTGAAAAGGGAAGCTAGAACTGATGATCTGCTTGTTAGCTGTGGGTAAATTTTCTCCCCAGGGAAGCCATGGAAGACCCATTACTCAAGGTACCTAAAACTAATCAGGAAAAGTATTGGCAAGAGCACTCTAAGGAAAATCCCACCCTGGTCCCTGAACTTCAGTGAAGTGAGACACCAACAGCCTTGATTCAGCCTAGTCATTGTGCCATTAGTCAAAATCTGACATGTTTCTCACTGGCTCTGAAAGGTAATGTCGTGGAGGAAAGACCTCACAGTGTCACTCCCTCTACATTATGTGATGCCTTGGAGTTACCTTGGGGCCATAGTTTCTACTGTTGCTGTGTCTGGGATTGTTAGAAGATCTTTCCCTCCAGTTCAGAGTCAGCGTACACCTCATCTGTGGTGAACAATGAGTTCTGAAGTTATGGAGTGAATGGCTGCAGGAACAGAGTGTAGTGGCTAGTAGCCAGATCCTGACATAATGGATGGCTACACCAGGAAAGCAAGTGAGGTAGCTGAGAACCAGACCTGATGGGTTTATTGATCTCCTACCAGCAAAGCTGGCTGTATTCTTCCTCTTAACAAGGATATTGATTGAGCAGGGGAGAAAGGACTTGGGGGAATTTAGTGAATTTCACTGTTTCATCCACTTCCCGATTTTCACACTTGCTTACATGTGGGCTACCTTGGCCAAGCAAGAAAGACCACCTTGGAGTTCCAAATGACAGTACACTCCTACAGGTTGAATATATGAACACATCCCCTGGTGTGATTTACATTGGTTCGGGGCAGCAAACAAATTACACTGGCAGCCAGAAGGCAAAGACATACAGTTATTCCAGTTTAATTGAATTAGTAGGCAACTATCACTGCACCCCCCACCATGAGGCAGGTGAGCAGGTAACAGGCACTTAAGAATGGATGTGGATAGATGATACCTAAACTGGGATAACTTATACTGGCAGTTTTACCCCTGCTTTTTTCACTATAGTTCTCCAATGGATCAGTCATTTGTTTAGTGCTTTCTTTAAAACTGATGTAACACTGGCAGGAGCAGAGTTGGGAACTGAACCCAGCTTTCTCACATTCAATAACCTGAGAACAAGCTCACCCTCTTCCTGCCCACTACAGTGGACATTATTATGAGGAAAGGTTGAAAGAAGTGGGATTATTTAGTTGAGAGAAAAGATGGCTGAGGGGGGAAATTGGTACTAGCTTTCAAATACAAAAAAAGATTCTTTTAAAGAAAATGGTAATAATTGTGTCCACAGGGGGCATGACAAGAAGTCGGGTGCTTAAGTTGCAATAAAGGAGATACAGCTTAGATATTAGGAATAACTTTCTTACTATAAGGGTGACTGAGTAGCAGAACAGTTTACCTAGAGTGGTTATGGAGTGTCCATCATTGGAAGTTTCTTAAGAGCTAGTTAGACAAGCAATTGTGTGGGGTGGTTTAGACAGGAATGATCTTGCCCTGAGGAGGGGGTTGGGATAGATGACCTTATGAGGCTCTCTTCCAGACCTGTTTCCCTATGATACAGTGATTTTATCTGATTCACAAAAGGCAATTACCCACTTGTACTTGCTTTCCTTTCTCCTTCCTAGATTGCTGCTAAGAAATACCGAAATTTTGAGATCCCAGCAGACATGACAGGCATCTCGCGCTACCTCCACAATGCTCACAGCTGTGATGAATTCACCCACACGTGCCCTGCAGATGAGGAGATTGAACGCACCTATGCCACTGTTGCCAAAAAGATGACCTAGGGTAGGCAGCCATGTGAGAGGTTTTTTGGAGCTCCTTTTGCAGATGGAAATGCTCCCAAGAATGATGCCATCTTCTGAATGTCCATGCCAGTAGGAGCTGTCATGCCCTTCCACATTCAGGCACTCCAGGGGAGGAATCTTTTAAGACATAATTAGTAATAACCTTTTGGAAATAACTCCCTTGCTTCACAAAATCTGCTGATGCTACTCTACTCCTGTGTAGATTGACTGTACCCATTATATTATATCTCTGACTACTGTACATATATGTATGTTACTACCCAGCTGCAGAAGCCATTGCTCTTTTATTCCTGAAAGACTGGGATTTCCAAGAGTCTTCTGAAACCACCAGCATTTGCTATGTAAAATGTAGCAGAGTGGGTGACCATGTGGCACAGAGACGCATAAGCACCAGCTTTTCACAGCTCCAGGACAGGGTGCAAGTGATATCTTTAAACACTGAATAATGCATCTTCATAAATTTCTAGATTTGAAAGCCAGCAGGAACCATTAGAGCATCCAGGCTGAGTCCAGGATGCCACTGACCATTACATTTCCCTCAGACCCACCTGTCATTTGTGTTTGGATAAAGCAAACCTCCCAGAGAGGCACCCTATCCTGAACTGAAGATATCAAAAGCTGGAGAACCCACTACTACCCTTAAAAGTTTATTTAATTGGTTAATCAACCTCCCTGATAAAAATTTGTTCCTAATGCCTCATTGAATTTGCAGGCATTCCATCTACTCCCTGTGCTCAGGAGGTACACAGGGCTGTGATTGCAGGAGCTAGCTGCTGGTTTGGAATGAGGTGCACTGACAAAGCCAGAGGAAGGCCAAAACATGAAGGACTCTGCAGGGCATGGAAGTGACCAAAGCCATTGAACTACAGTCTTATTCTCCTCTCCTGCCAGTTTTACATGGCAGCATCTCCACTGATTTCAGTGGATTTCCCTTGATTTAAGTCTAAGTTTAGAGGAGAATTAGACTTATACACCCCAGTTGCAGTGCAGAGCACCAACAGCAGAGATCCCATTCTGATCATGTCATTTGTCTAGTGAGTGCCCCAGATGGACTAAAAAACTCAGCCAAGACATCTGTTCCTTTCTTCCTGGCTGTGGTATGCATTGCTGAACTCAGGCATTCCATTCCTAGAGCTCTGAGTCCACTCCAACAATTCAGGAGAGGGTCCCCTTTGAGTTGAGGGGGCAGACGTTCATGATTTTGGAAGAGGCCAAGAACTTGTATCCAATTCCCACATTCTACTCACTCAACAACCAACCAGTCAATCCTGGTGAGCAAAAATCACTTTGCTATGTAAAGCAAACTAAGTTTTACAGTGTATCTAGGTGTGTGTGTGTGTGTGTGTGTGTGGCTCAGATTCACAACTTGATGCCACTCATGTAGATGCACTGAAGAACAACAACAGCTGAGGATCTGGCTCACATAGGCGTCTAGCATAAGAAACTGATGCTGATTCGAGAGAGAGGAAAAAAAGCCCTTTTCTAACACTGCTCGTCTGTGGAGTTCGTGCCAGGCCAGGCCATAAACCAGGAAGTTGGAAGGTGATGACCAATGCTCTTTCCAGATCTCCTCCCTCACTCTTTAGGGTGCAATTCTTCCCTATCTGAGCATGAGGGAAGTCACAGGCACTTTGCATGCTCATAAACCTCCCACCCCCATCCAGTTTTTTCCCTAAGTGGCCACATGACTATCAAAACCCATACCTGTGAATTCAGCCAGCCCTTTGCCAACTGAATAGAAGCCAATGGTGATGTAGAAATACTGTACCACTGTAATAATTCTGCCTGTTATGTCATAACAGCTGTAGCTATGCACTGGGCTTGGAATGGCTAAGGGCCTATAAAAAACTCACTAAGCTTTTCTTTCACAGGTTTGCACTTAACACTGAATATTCACACTCCTGCTTCTGATATATATATTTTTACTAGAATGACAATAAACTTTATTTTATATACAATATTCACAACATGGTCTTGAAATCTAGTCCAGGGAATAGTAGGACATAAAGGGAAGCAGCAGTGTGTGAAGAGATGTGCAAGTGTGCTCATCATCTGGCAGTATTGTGAGAAAACAGACATCTAGATTAAATCTGTTTCTCAAATAAAATTATAATAGCAGCCTCCGTTTCCTGTGCTCATCATGCTGAATGATCACAGTGTGCCTGATGTAGAAGTCAGGCATGCAAGCTGGAGCAGTAGATAGATACAAAGGTCTGTGTAGGACTTGTTTAATTCAAAAGTGCCTAAATACCTTTGAGGGTTGGGCCAATGTGCACAGATGTAGGAGAAGAACAGGCCGTGTAAAAGAGCTGCATTCTGACTACCCCCTTAGACTACATGCTTCATTTTACTGTGCAACCCACCGGTGATCATGTGTGATTGATTCCCCTTCATATCCAGTCCACAAAGGATACACATCTCTTACAGCAGCAGAGATTAGGGAGAAAAGGTCTTTAGCTTTGGCAACAGCAGCTTGTGCTTTCAGTTCTGGAGAGCTCGGGCTCAGTCCTTTGTGTGTCAGCCAAGATGGAGGCCATCTCAACTGCACCATGTGAAGGCCTATGTATCACCTGGGAGATCTCCATGTTGACCCTGGAGAGCCCTGTGTAGTTCACTTCATGCTTCCTCTACACACCCACCCACCCACTCCACCCACTGCAACATAAAGACAGGAAGTCAAGGGACCAAAGACACCACACCAGATGGAAACAGAGGCCCTCAGAGATTGGAAGAGTTAAATTCACAAGAAATTAAGGAAGTAGTATTAAAGATTTCAAGGTTTATTAAATAAATCAGCTCCAAGTGGCATTAGCACACCAAGTGCTAGCACCAGGGACATGAGAGGAAGCAGGGAGGATGAGATGGAAATTAATAAGCACAAAGTCCTCGGGGCTGAAAAATGACTGAGGTTGATTTTTCTTTTCTCTTTTGTACTTCACTATAGTTGGTGCTAAAACAAATCTAGCCTTTTTTCTCTCAGCAGCTATGTCTTTTTGGTGACATAATCTGCGCTGCCACAAATGTTGTTTCACAGAGTTAACAGTCATTTGCATAATGTTCAGGAAGCCATCACAGTTGCCTTGTGGTTTGACAGTGACAGTCTGATCATTCAATATTTTTCTTCTTCATCCTCTGTGGCACGTAGGGGAAGGTAACCTTTGCAATGGGCTTCATGGTAGGGCTGAACACAGGCACAAGCAATCTGGGTGGCCACCCAGAGCCTGGACAGAAAGGGGGCCTGAAGATGGTAATTTTTTTCCGTTGTCCGATTATTATTATCATTATCTCTGGCAAAAGAAGGCCCGATACTAAAAGTTCACTTGGGGCCATCAGGAGTCCAGGTATGGTATTGCTTGACGGGAACAAATGCAACCTAACTAAGGCCAAGCACGATTCACTTGCTTGTCTTCCTGCTTAGTCTGACATTTGCTAAATGACATTCATAGCCCTTTGAGGTTCACCCTACAGACCGGCCAGGGAGTGCCTCTTTGCAGGGTCTCAATGTTCTTCAGTGGAATTCATCCTGCAGAACAGGAAGGATTTTAAAGGAACAAGAGAACTGATTCTCTCCCTCTGGAGGATATTTAGCTACAGTGAGTTAACCTTTATCCTGCAGGTGGCAGAATACAGCTCCAGAACAGCAGCTTGCTTTCAATAAGGAATGTGTCATCTGAGCAATTAGAGGAGCGGTTCTCAACATTTTTAGACTCATGGCATCCCCTGGAAAATACAAGCTCTTAGTTTTTACTCATATTTTGACTACAGAAAAATAACATAGCAATATTCTGTCAGAAAGACCTCAGCAGGTCAGAAGGTTTTTAACACTATGGATTCCTATTGGAAATCTCTGGGTTTATCTTGTGAGTTATGTTTGCACCCCTAATACACAGACGTTTATGGCACCGCAAGGCACCTGCGACAGAACCTGAAGGCACACCACGGTGCCATGGCACCCTGACTGAGAATCACTGAACTAGAGTCACTCCCTGTTGTTTTCCCTCTTTCTTTAAAACCTAATAAGCCAATTACCCCATAACTAACGGGCTCCACTTTCCTCCAGCATGAACTCACCATGTGTTACTACTAAATACAAAACACTGCATGCGCTTGCGCGGTGGCTTGTGAGAGGTTGGATGAGGTGGATACAGGTGAGGCAGGGGGTGCACACACATCCAAAAGGGAAAGTCTGCAGGCTCTTTTGGTGAAGTCACAAAGTGCTCATTGTGTAGAGGTGGCTAGGGGCTGGCAGGCCCGCCTCCTTCCTGGGTGTCTCAGTTGGTGACACAGTACTTCCAGAAGCAGGCTGAGGCAAGAGTTGGGGATAGACAGGAAAATCAGTGAGAGACTGAACCTGCGGTGGTGACAATGGATGGTTTAGCTTTGTTGATAACTTGCTTTTTAAATAGGCTCCCCTGTGACCCTCAATTAGCAGCAATGATCCAGAAACAATTATCAGCAAACCAGGGAAGCTGATGCCTAAATTAGTACTGTTTAGACACAGCTTTTTTTTTGCATCTTCAGTTGACTGACAGGGGCAAAATTTAAAGCTCTGTATGAGAAGATCAAAAATCCCAGATAAAGCACTTTTGAGGCATTCCACCAAGTGGATGGACAGGTCTTTTCTAACCCTATAATTCGAGCCTTGTGATATGAAATGATTGATTCCAGGAGAACAACCAAGTCTTTCGTTTGCAAGTTACTCCGTGCCCTGAGGGTCTGTATCACAAGCTGCTGGTTTTGGGGCTCAGCAAGTAAAGAGCTCTTTAGTTCTGCCCATCTGTATGATAGCCTGAAAGAGATGTCTGAAAAAGAGGCCTTGGTTCCATCTCCCCGCATTTTTACTCTGATCTAACTCTGGTTATTGCAGTGGGGATGCAAATAAATAGAAGAGAGAATTAGGTCCTATTGCTCAGTCAGCTGATTGCATTATTATAATAGAAGAAGATACCCATATAGGGCAACAATCTGCCTTTAGATGCCAGATTTAACAGTGCTAGAGGAAATCAGTTCACTCTGGTATCCTGCTCTGCTGTGTGTGTGGCAGTTCAGGCCACTGCATGTTAGTCCTGTACTGAGGGCTTGCAGACACACAGGGCAGCCCACAGGCAGTATAGAGTAGCTGGATGTAGGTAGAGAAACAGCTTTCAGAGAATGCACTGGGCCAGCTGGGCTTCTACAGGGAACGTGGTGGAAGGACTCTGAATGGGAGCACTGCCTGCTTTCTCCAGTGAGTGAATCCCCTCTGGGATGCAGTGGCTTTTGCTGGTGCAAAAGGGATCCACTTGGTTATTGCCCTGGCATCACTGCAGCTCAGAGGAGCTGTCGGTCTTCAGCAGTCACTTAAAGGCAAGTTTCACGCTACTGCTGCTTTCTCCTTTAGGGACTTTGGAGACCCCATGGAGCTGGAACATCTTTTACTTACTCTCCTTTAACTGCATTCCAGACATATATGACAGGTCTCTCTTCCATCCCTGACACTTTCCAAGGCTTTACTCTAAAATGACATGTCAGTTCATACTCGTAACCCTTAAGTCCTCCCTGACCCTGCCAGTCAGCTGGGGTCTAATGTATTCCCAGACAGCCAATAAGAGCTCTGGGATTCTTCTGGGGTCAGTGGGCAATGAGCATCTCCCCTCAATAAACCGAAGAGATTGGCCACTGGATGCAAGGAATAGCGCTCAGTGTTTCAGTGCAAACTGCCCTGTCCCCTCTTGGGGGTGACTCTGAGGTGCCAGAAGCAGAACACTCACCTCTCTTGTTGGGCTTTGGTGGGGTCTGGTCTGATTTGGTGAATCCCTGGGTCCGGTGTTTGGCTGCTGCCAGTTGCCACAGGATTGCCTTAACATCTTCCACCTGAAAAGTCAGGGGGTCATTCTGGCCCTTCACTAAGAAGTAACAGCCTTCCCCAGAGCGCCTCCTCCTACACCACCTCCCAGTCAGGCTGTCAGCAACACTGAGAGCCTCTTGGCAGTTTACATTGATAGGCTAGGAGACCTGACGGCTAGGGACAGAACTTAGACATAAACCGGTTTAAGTGATCAGAAACTGGTTTAAACCTGTAACAGAACAGAGGCTCAGTGCACATAAACCAATTTCAAAATGGCGGAAACTGGTTTATGATAAACCTGGTTGAATGTAGTATCAGTTTGACCCAAACTGATTTGGCTCAAACCTGTTTATGAAACTCCTGTCCCAACCCCTTTCCTGGTTCAAGTTAAATTACAGTCCCCCAGTATCCCAGCATGCTGGGTTAGGCTGTGCTGCCTGCTCCAGAAAGCAGGGCTGGCACCACCACTCTGCTCCCTAGCTGGAGCAGTGAGGGCTGGCTGACAGGGGCATCAGGGAGGCAAGCCCAGCTGGGGATGCAGCCCAGTCTACGAGAGGGACTGGCCATCCCAGGCAAACCCCAACTGGAGTCTGGAGCCAGGGAGGGGAGTTAAACACCTGTTCTCCCACTCAAACTTACTGCTGGCTACAACTGTGGACTACACATCCCAGAGGCACTTGGAAGCAGGAAGAGGAAGTGATGAGTAACCCTGCAGAATCATGTTGTTGTAATTCTGGACTGCAAATCCCAGCGACCTTGGGGGCAGTGGGAAGAGAAAGTGACCACACAGTACAGAGAGCCCTGCTCTAGTGCCCCCTGGCACCTGGCCTGAGCCACTGCAGGCATGTGGCTGCATTTCCTGAGTCAAAGGTAAGTGTTTGTTTACTTCTTTTTCAATTTAATCTGTACATTTTAGACTAACCTGAAGAAACTGAATCAATTCAGCCTCGGGATTTTTGACTGGCTGTATTTAGCCAAAGGAACTAGCCATTTTCAGAGGCAAAGCCACAGATTTCCTTGGATTAATTCCCAGTTGAACTAGTACATCTCTCCCTGTGAAAACCCCTCATCTTTGATTTTACAGTGGCCAGTGATAGAGAATCTATCACTGACCTTGGTCAGTTATTGCAG